GGTTTGTGCAGAATAATATGGTACCATCATTTATTTCGCAGGCTTCTCATCAGCTGCTTACAGCCTGAATAAATTATGAGGTTTGCGTACAGAAAAGTTTTAACATACTTGCAAATTTTTACATGTTGTCAGTTGACAAAAAGTTCCATAGTAAGTGAACAGTGCTCAGAAAATCGAGAAATCGAGAATTCCTTTAAAGTTATCAATAGACAAAGGAGTTCCATTCTCCTCAAGTTTGCCGAAGCAATCTCTATCAAACTCTTGAAACCAGATCTATGTGTTCAGAAAGAAGCAGTTATTAATCTTTCTTTGCCCTGGTAACTGAATGTCTTCATTCTCTCATCTGATTACGTAATCTTTGTCTTTAACCTCATCCCCTTTTATATTCCGTAATTTTGCTTGTCTCTTGTTTCTATGATTTGAGTTGAACTCAGTACATTGTTTACCTAATTTATTAGTCACTCTGTATCTAACTCATATTTCGTCTTTATTACGTAACTCTTTTACCATTGTATGCACACATCTATTTTGTTTAAACTTGAACTGCCTGTGTAATAACTATATAAGCGCAATTTTCTGAGCACTGTTCACTTACTGTGGAACTTTTTGTCAACTGACAACATGTAAAAATTTGCAAGTATGTTAAAACTTTTCTGTACGCAAACCTCATAATTTATTCAGGCTGTAAGCAGCTGATGAGAAGCCTGCGAAATAAATGATGGTACCATATTATTCTGCACAAACCACTGTTGTTCTTGCTTTATTCAAATTCATCAAGGGGAATAAATGCATGAAATATCCTATTCGATAATTTACTCTTCTGACTCTACAATTATATATACATATTTGTATATACAGAATATTCTAGAATAATTGTCATTAACAATATTGGTGTTTGTCGATTTGTTAAGACCAATGAAATTACAGTTCGAGATGCATAAGTTATAATAAGCATAAAAATGTAACAGCAAATACAATATCTACAGCAAGGTAAGGACAGTGTCTGAACCAACATCTTCTTTTGGATAAATAAGTTGGGTTTCTAAAGGTAGATTCCAACAGCCTCAGCAATATATAGTAGACGAACCCTTAAGGTAAAGTTAACACTAGTTGGTATGCGGTAGATGACTTTGGAAGTTTTGTTAATAACTATCTTGTGTTCTGTATCCACATGATGATATAAAATAGGGCTATGAGTGGATTTTGTTTGTCCTCTACTTAATCACACAGAAATATGTTCGGAAATCCGATGAATCTGCTTAAAACTCCAACATTGCTCCAGTCTATTTGGTGCCTATAGCTTTTCTCAGACATTGGAGAAATAGATATCACGTATTTTGATCGTTAAATTAATTTTGCGAATATTAAAGAAGAAATGAACTGCCATTTTTCACAGTTAATGCAATTGGTTTTGCGGATTGTATTGTTTTCATTTTGTTTTAGTGTGGGATCTTTTCACTTACTTAGTATTAAATTAGGTGACTGTGCAAGCTTGTAACTAATACGTATTGCACAATTACTTCTAAAATAAGCAAGAATTTTAGAAATATTCTTTAGTTATGATGGTTTTACACCGATTGTTTGATTTGAATGAAGATATATTTTTACAAAGTTCTATAGGTCGGCATTTTTATGAACAGCGAACAAAAGGTATTTTGCTTCTATTCTGCTCAGAGAGGGTTGTTGCAGTGTGCTTAACATCCTTTGAATAGTGTTCAGAAACATTTTCTTTTGTGTGCTATTAGACTCTTACTATTGCTGTAATTAAGTATTCAGCTTTTTTGATCGGACACTAGTCAGTGACTAGTGTAGTGTGTCAATTCCTTTGTTTACTGCAGACTGAACTCTATCAGTCAAGTTTGCAATGTGGCCACCATGCCACCAGGTGGCTCGCCATCACGGTGCACTGTGAATTGTTGGTTTAAGATGGTTGGGGGCAATCCGTAGGAAGCCTTGGACCTAGGTTCCGTGCCAGTTAGCACCCATCAGCAAGGTGTATCTGCACTCTTGAAGGAACTCATGTCCCTTCCGAGATTCTAACCCATGTCACCCAGTGCTGCAGTCAGAGACGTTGCTAATGGGCTATTCAGGCTCGCGATTGACCTCTTGTAGGACCGTATTGGATATTTTTAATTGCATACTAGTCAGTAAATTGTGTGATGTGTCTAGTCCTATCTTTGGTGCAAACTGAATTCTATCAGTCAAGTTTGTGTGGGTTGTTTTTGTGTATACTTATCCTTTCTCATATTGTTTTTGTACTTGCTCAGTAGACCAAGACATTTAAGAATCAAACTTTTGTTGCCTCATTTCTTTTCACTTGTCCTTAAAAAAGGTATCGGTTAATTTGTGAATGCTTTCTAAATCATTTCGTCTCCATCGTTTAACAAGCATAATTCATTTATGTGGTGTGAATAGGTACTGCTCTTAAATAATTGCAAGTATTACTTGAAATATTTCGATCAAGTTTGTGAAATAGGATTCAAAAGTTTCGACCAGAAGATATCTGACTACATTCAAACAAATTTGCTTGCAGAATAAAAGTTTGATTTCCTTGGTTTACGTGAAGAACATACAGGAATTGGATTTGTATCGAACTGGAGCAAAGTTATGCCACATGTTTAGTCTATTATATGCTTAACTGACTAGGCAAAAGATGCTGATATAAAGAAATAATAATAGTCTCAAGATAAGGGTAAATGATACAATAATGTACAACAGTGCATCGAACGAAAAACAAGGGAGAGGAAAAAGCTATACATCACTCTGAAACTGTCAGGAATATTACATAAAATCGATGAAAATTTAAGACAGTAATTTTGACAGCGTATAAAATAGTTTTGGTGAATTTATTTGAGTTACATAGAAAAAATGATGAAGATGTTACTTTTTGGATTGTCTACTTCCAAACATTATTTTTTATTTCTTTCTGTTCTGAGTGTAACAAAGGGCTTCAAGATTGAGCTCCTCAGCTTCAGTAGTACTGGTGTTGTCTTTTTACGAGGCGAAGTTGTTAGCATCACACCCAACCTTCCCTCGTTACCCAACTTACTGTCGGCTAAGCGAGGTTAAGGAGTTCTTCGGCCGGGTATCAGACCCAGGAGCATGTGCACAGCCAGTGAGCATTTTACCACGGAACCACCGGCGCACAAATATCAGGGAATACTGAACAGCTGTTCCGTCCTAGGCTGGAATTCTTCAGCAGCCCCACACGCGGGGTTCTAACCCAGGGTCTCCTGATTACTTAGTCCAAGTGCAAAGATAATAATAAGAGCCATGAATGAGAAAAAACAGATATCGGTGAAACGAAATACGAGTTTCAGTATTTTGAAGAACTGCCTTTGAATTATTTGAGCCCGCTTTGGTTTCATTTTAGTCTAAATATTTGTTCATATGATTTGGTCATTTTTAACATCCCCATCTACGACACACACAGATCAGCAGATGGTAAATCTACAAATCGGTTTAATAATTTAACCATAAACATATCCAACAGAGTTAAAACAGAAAATCAGACCATCCGGTCGAAGAATTCATACAGCAGGACCTACTGGCTCCGAACAGACATGACAAAGGGTCAATTTTGCATTGATCACAGTTTTATCTGGGAGAATTTCTAAATTCTGATACATAGTAGTCTTCAAAAGGCAAGGGAATTTCCAAAGGCATGCTACTTAGATTAAAAAGCAATTAAAAATATTTGAGTTTGGATATTATTGATCAAATCATAAATAGCACACGGAAAGACTATTATCCCAAGAACAACAACAACAACAAAATTCTTAAGCGTTAGACAATAAACTCGAACAGGAAACAGTCAGTGATTCAAAGATTGCACGACAAATGAAATATGAGCTGAACTAACAAAATATAAACAATTACAAACCATAGATAAAAGTAACAGAAGTTCTTATTTTCTATAGTTGGTTTTTAAGGATTAGTTTTATTTTACGAGTTGACCACGGATCGATATCAGCTTGAGAACCAATGAAAACCACCAATGAGTCCTGGACAGCTGTTTCATCCTAGTTTTGGAATCATCGGCAGTACACACTCACAAACCAGGGTTCGAATCCAGGACCTTCCGCTTACAAGGCAAGCTCGAATATTATTCAGCCACTGGGACCCGATTCAATCCATGATCAACTCGTAAAAACAAAACTAATTCTTACAAACCAACTATAGAAAATTATTCTGATGCTCGCTAGTGCCTAGCTACAAGACTGAATTCCCTGCAGTTCTAGTGAGAAGTCGTGACCAGTGAGGTCGATCCAGTCAAGTGTGAGGATGGACTTCCTACCAACGACATTGGTTGAGGTCAAGCTAAAATGCCGAAATGGTAGAAGTTAGAATTCATGGGCCATTGAGTCGGGTCCCAGTGGCTGACTGGTATACGAGCTTGCCTTGTAACCCGAAGGTCCTGGATTCAAACCCTGGTGTGTGGGTGCTTACTTCCGATGATTCTTAAAAAACTACGATGAAACAGTTGTCCAGAAGTTGTTATGTCAGATCAAACAATAAAGGAAGTATATCCTTAAATACACTTCCCAAAACTAATAATTAACAGCTCATCAATTTGAAAAAGGCAGAAAAATCTATCGCCGTCAAAAGTGAACAATCAACTTTAATTTCAAAGAAGGAAACATCTCTAAAGCCAAGAAAAATAAAACCCAACTTAGCTTCAATAAGAACTACAGTGGTAAAGCTGGTGACAAATCTGAAGAAAATTGATACAAACATAAATAAAAAGAAAAATAGTGTTTCTACTGACCAGTCAATGAGAAAAAAAGAATGCCAGCAAGGCCCACTTCATCTATCCTCAACAAAATATCTCCTGTGGATACAAATGAAGATGTCAGCTTCACTTCCACATGAATGTTAACGAATCCAATCTCTAAATTAAAGTCAACAGCTTAAGAAATAAATCCTAAAGGGTTATAGAGAAACAGAGAGATATAAATATATATTTTTTGGAAAATGAAGTATCTTTCATGATTACTTACGTTGGTTTACCAGCTTCAGCTAAATCTGTTTGTAATCTTGGACCACCTTCAACCTCCATTGTACAATAAACCATTTTATTAGTTGGTAAATGTTTAAGATTTTTCACCTGACCAACAACAATCTAATCAAGAATGAAAAAGAAAAGAAAGAAAGCAGTATGAGAGATAATAATATAAGCTCAGCTCACTGAGAAAGTTTTCAATTCGATGAACTTTAACCTTCTTGAGTTGCTATGTAGACGTACAAGCTGACACAATTTATCAGATTTTTCTGTCCTCTGTCTTCTCTCACTTTCATCCCCTTTTTTCATAGTTGGAAAGCATATAAATTGATGGTGACTTTAACTAATAATTGTAATGCTTATATTCCGGATAAGTTCATCTTGTAATATTTTCTCTATTACCTTTCTAAAACTGAAGTATGAAATATCACTGTTTTCAACCATTATAATTTCAGGTAGTTTGCAGCTGATGAGAATCTGTGAAATAGAATTATATCATTTAATACTGCTTGCAAATCTGGTCTTTCTTTCTCTGTCGAAATTTATCAAAGGAACCAAATGTATAAAATGAAGGTATTTCTAATCAAGTTAATTAGAACTTCCCAGTATGTGATATGTTTATGGTTTAATGTCACACAAACTCGAAGACTTGCAGGCAAAAACCAACAAATTGGCAAAAGAAGCAGCCAATGAAAACAGAACTCCAGGGGAACAGAGAGAAGACGGAAGTGATGAAGATAACTAACCAACAGCAACAACAAACAGCACAAATCACTATCAACCGGAGAAATTTGAAAGAGGTCACTTCCTTTTCTTATCTAGGAAGCATTGTTTCAACCACAGGTAGTTGGAGCGGATGAAGATGTCAAAGCAGGTCAGGAACGGAAAGGAAAGATACGCCTGCATCAACCTGAAATCCATTCGGAAATCTTCTGCAATCCACCTCAGTACAAAGAATAAGATTCGGATTTTCAACACAAATGTGAAGTCAGTTAATGCTTCTATATGGGTCAGAAACTTGGACTGCACGTCATGAAAAGGAATTGCCAAGAGGCCACTGCCCACTTCACTGAATCCATACTGAAGATCAAAGGGCAAGTCAGCCAACCAGAAAGAAAGAATTAACAACAAGAAACTCTGGCTGGGAACAAACCAACCAAGAACCTATCGTTCAAGAAATATGTTGGAGAAAGTGGAGATGGATTGGGTATACGCTGAGGAGACCCTCGAATGATATCGCGCTCAATGCAGGCCATCACTCGAATGGAACCCGAAAGGGAAACAGCGAGTGGGTTTTCCAAGGGTGACATGAAACAGATCGTGCCAGGAGATGAAAGATTATGGCCGATCGTGGGCGCAGCTGAAGAGGAGAGCAGAAAATAGAAGAAAGTGGAGATGTATTGTTGAAGCCCTATATTTCACTCGGAACCAAAGGGAACAATAATAAAAATACAACATATAATGTAGTATATAATAATATATATAATATATAGAACAGAGCAACTACAGTAGCTGGAATAAGCCAGTAAATTCTCACATGAACGGAGAGTTATCCTCCTGAATAGCTCAGCGGAGCAATGTCTAATTTTAATAACCAATGCCACCAATTATAATTATAGTACGAATACATACTGTAAAGTCTTTTAGTTCAGTTATGTTTTTTTTTACTCCAGTAATGATGAAGTTTTTTATATTTTTGTAGTCTTTATTACTTTATGTCAAAAGCTTGCCAGATAAACTAAGATTTCCCAACCAATCAATCTACTCCAGCCTGAAGTTGTGTGTTAATGTTTGAGTAATGAAAATCAAGTTATTTTTCCCTCATAACTAAGTTTATTAGGGTTTATCTTTCCAGACGTAAACATATTTCAACATTCTAAATGACTGAATGTTCTTAGTAAGCTTTATGATTTAAATGCACAAAACATCGTAATTGACAAGTGGCGTGTGTTTTTACAAATTCAATTACTTTGTAAGTCAGTCAAATCTTTGAGTTGATAAAGTTTATCTCTAAGTGGGGATTTCAGCCATTTTGCCATGCATTACAATGTCTAGGAAATTTCGAGTTCTTGATTATTTCTGTTTTCATTAGTGGTTCCAGTACCAACGCTGCTTTCTTGTGTACTCCTAAGAATCTTACCGAAGCATTTACGAGGATGTCGACTGAGTGGAATTCTGAATTTCACTAGTTTCATCTACTTCTTTAGTTTACTTGATTTATAATTTAAAGAGTTAATCTGATTACTTAAAAGCTTTATGTAATCCCCTTTAACTAACACGAGATAAGACAGCTTAGAAGGCAAAATACCTGTTAAAGTGTGTTTGTTTTCTACAGATAATAATAATAATCTTAAAACCAGCATCCATCTATCTGGTTCGTCATGCAACTGCATACTTCTAATTTTCAATCTCCACAACTAGTTATTTTACTTAGCCATAGTGAAATAAGCTTACTGGTAGAATAAAAACGTTGCATCCTGCTTTGGTTTACTTCTTTTTTAAAGGAAGTGTTGAAGTCGATATGGACACTCCAGTAATTATTTATTTAAACAAGGAACGTGCTGTTTTCATACTACATTATTTAATTGTGTTAAGCAAAGATAGAAAAAAAGAAGAAAAACTCTGAAGAAACAAACATATTGGTGTGCAGTAGGAGTACAATTTAGTCAAACATTATCTTTTTCAAAGCTGTTAAACATTGTTCTTTCCTTTCTTCCTATTTCTCATCCTTTATCCTATTCCCCCATATATCATAAGCCAATAGCACTACAGACATAAATAAAATAATACTGTCATAATAATATTGCGAGTAGAATTACTGGTTACTAAGAGATTGTTATTGGTAAGAGAACAAAAATATAAGGACTAGAATGTTAAATAATTTTCATTAAGTGCATTTGAAATGAACCTGAAGCTCTAAATAGCTTTATTTGGTAGATAGCGGACACTCAGCGGACAAAACGTAAGCAATGAGGGTGATTTATCCCGTCCTATTGAATCTATATAATGATCTTCGTATTTACCCACTGCATAAAGCCGAAGTTGTACACTAGTTAATGACTAGCGTAATGTATATAGTCCTAACTTTGATGAAGACTGAATTATAGCAGTCAAGTTTGCAATGTGGCCACCATGCCACTAGATGGCTTGTCATCACCGTGCACTTTAAATTGTTGATACGGGGTGGTTGGAGACAATCCGAAGGACCTAGGTTTTGTGCTAGTTGGTACTCATCAGTCTACAACCTTGAAAGAATTCATGTCCCTTCTGCGTCCTAGGTTCAAGACTTCCTGCCGACTGCCTCCAGACGTATAATATCAACAAATCACAATGCACCATGATGCCAAGTCACCTAACATGATTGTCGCATCGCAAACTTGACTGATAGAATTCAGTCTGTACCAAAGAGTGGACTACACACACAAACATTACACTAGTTACTGACTAGTGTCCAGTCAAAAATATCCAATACAGTCCTACAGGAGGTCAGTCGCTAGCCTGAATAGCTCAGTGGCAACGACTCTGACTGCAACACTGGGTGACGCGGGTTCGAATCTCAGAAGAGAAACGAGTTCCTTCGAGTTTGCGGATACGCCTTTCTGACTGATGAGTGCCAATTGGCACGAAACCTAGGTCGATGGATTCCTGCTGATTGCCTCCAGCCGCCTAATAGAACCGGAATTATGGGCATAGGAATTAATCAACCCATACCATCTGTCTACAGACAGTGTTTGTACGGCCGTTATCTCTCCCTTTGCCTGTTCAATCATCAGCTGACTAAGTGTGCAACAACCCTACTGCGTTACATATCATTAATTCTCTACAGTTGGTTTGTAAGAGTTAGTTTTGTTCTTATGAGTTGATCACGCATTGATATCAGTTAGAGAACAGCTTTCCAGTACTCCCTGGTTTTCAATGGTTCTTTAACTGATATTATTAATTCTTTTCTAACAGTTTTTATCATTGTTTCCTTAGTCTTACTGCATCTTCATTAAAAATCAGTTTACACACTTCCCTTACAACCCAGCATTACGTAATCTTGGTACTCGTTTTCTATACATCTCTATCTAATGTGTCAATTTGGATACTTATTTGTATAACCTCTATGTTTTGCATAATTTCAGCAGTTAGCAACAGCGATAAAAACAAAAACAAATGCTGACATAACATATGCATTTCTGATGAAACAAAAATGAGGACACATTTAGTCGACCAGCTGAGTTTGAACATAAACCTCAGCACAGAAATGCAGCAGTTCAAGTTCTCACACTCCAAATAGAGAAAAAGGAGTAAAATAGGGATTCAAAAGAATTGTAATAAGCAAAAATATGAGGAGGAGACAGAATAGTAACATGGAAAAACAATAGGGTATCATAGATACGGCGAGATCACAAAGAGTGAAGGCATCTGAGTCACTGAGAATGATTTTGAGACTTATCACCAAATAGTCCCTAACTGTTGGTTCTTACCATCCACCTGAGGACTCCAACTAACCAGCCTACACCTGTCTGCGTAGCTCATACCAAGTGTCAAAGACTTCATGAAATCAGAAAGATTGAGCGAAGAAATATTTACTTTTCAGTTAGATTCTCATCTCTGGCTCTACTCTAATATACACCTATAGCATTTTTATTACAATACACAACAGTTTACCAATAAAGTGACGATATGTTTGTTACCAATAATTAAACAGTGTCAAAATGTCAATGGGTTGATAATTAACGAAGAAAATCAATACTCATTTAAAAGGTAGAAATGGCTAGAATAAATTAATTTTAGAAGGGTAACACGTAATTAAAGATGAAGTGGTCAGAAAAAAATAATTTAGACAATTATAATTTTTATAATTTTAAAGGTTTAGGGGGAGGGGGGAGAAGTAGTCCGGTTTACACATTCATGTAACGATGGTCAAGGCAAGGAAAGTGGCTACACAAATTTCTTCCCTCATTTCAGCTTCACCACCTCTAGCTCCTTTTCCACCCTAATCCCATGTTTGTTAACATTGCTTATAGAGGAAGGCAATGGCTCGGCATACTCAGCACTTGTCGCAGCTATCTCATTAAGTGTAGCTTCATAAACTCATTGATTGTTTTCCCCTCATGATGTAACAATCTACGTCT